CTGATATGTTGCATATGTGGTGTTATAATCCCAGGATGCCAAAGTTGGGAACATTCATGAACACCAGTAATTCATCTACAGTATCTTTAAATTGAATATGATTTGGAAAAAAAATCTTTATGTCTTTTACTTTTGCAGCATTTACAAGATAGGTTAAGATATTATTTGATCACCCGAGTAACGTTTTTTTTCCACTTTGTGACCGTTCTGTTCTCTTCAATACCAACAAGACCAATTAAGAAGTTGTAGGATCATCATCAGCTCTTTTCGGCTTTCGAAAAACTTTTGAACAGGAGACGACCAAAGGTCAAACAATTCAGATTTATTCAGTGAAAATCGAGGGATCATATTGTCGAAACGTTGCTGTGAGAAATTGTCTGACTGTTTATAAAAGAACGCAACAGCCTTTCTTTTGTGGTACATCTAAAGTCAACATCTCTTTACTGGAGAAGAGAAGTAACATCTAGGCTACCGGAGCCAGCTGAAATCGGTCCTGTGTACTTTGGTATCGACATAATATTGTGATGTTCATGATTTTTTTCCTTCTCTTCCACCGTTTTAAATACCGGCGTTTTCTGCTGTACAACTTCAGATTTGAAAGAGCGCTGAAATGCTTCATTATAGGACTGGTTTTGAAATAGAAAGATGGAAACCGTTTTAGTTTCGGTTCTCGGTTCTTTCTTTTCTTTCTTCTCTTTCTTCTCTCCTTTCTTCATTTCAACCTACAATGCCAGTATTTGTTGCAGCAGTTTAAAATTATAGTTTTGTACTAACCTCTGCTGGAGGTTTTAGGTCCAATTTTTTGCTCCTGAAAAAGGCATGGTATTGAAAATCTAGCAGCTCTTTGTAACAATTTTAGTATTTCATTCGTCTGGAGCACCGTAATCGCTTGGGTTTATTTGTGCAGACAATGCTTATACGATCATTTTATAGCCGCTTTCGATATTATCTACGAAACAGTTCAATCCAAACTCTTCAAAAATCTCCATCTGGAGAATTCCTTGTTTTTTTGTGTAGTAGGTTATCACCAATATAAAATCAAAAAGTTCACGGCAGAAGCGAGGCAGTTTGAGGGAACAAACTAGAAAGTAGAGATGTGATGAATTACTAGTGGGAAGCAGGAATTAACGTATGATTGCTGAGTCTTTTTTGCA